GGTTACGAAAATATTATTCATTTTTGGTCCAAACCCAACAAACGCCGACATAATGTCTGACATTTATTATAACACTTCATAGATTTCATATTATATTCACACCAAACAAATGCCAACAAATAAAACATAAGATTTTGATTATCAAACACTGATATGAAATGAAAGTGAAAAACAAATTTAACACATATTTAATACACGACTTTATGGTTTGGGTATAAATAGCTAACTATTATGTATAAGTGGACTATATATGCATACATTTTCTATGAGTACTAACTTATATGTTTAGTTTAATTCATTAGCATATACCCTACTTATATTAAGCCATTAACGTTATATAATACTATACAGTAAACTGAATATTTGTCAAAACAATACATGAGCTAAAAATAAATATTCAAATCTAATGTCAAAGACTTGTCATTTGATTACTGAACAGTACATGTATTTCACTCACAAATCAAATATTACATCAAATAAACGAAACAAACAGAGAAATCATAAAACAATATATATTTAACACAATTTATATGAGATTTAAATGCAATTAAAACGAGTCAAACGTATAGCCATTAAAACGTGTATTAAGTGTATAGTAAGACAATCATATGATACGTGCGATCATATGATAGCCATTTGAATGTCATTTCAATATTCATACAATTCATTACGAAATCAAACAAATATCACATTTATATCAATGAATACAATGAAGTCATTTGCTTACCATTGGTGTGAAAAGGCTTTAAATTTAAAATTCATTTTAAACATAATTTCAATGATTGATAAAAACAATAATTAATATATAAAACTGTCTCAAAAATATGTCTTTTGTTTTGTGCGAGACTTTCACAATGTTTTGCCACAACAAACACAATGCTATTTGTTTTACTTATAACTTGAATAAATGTTTTAACTCACTATCCATTCATATGATCGAGTATTTCATTATTTGAGTTCATTATAAACAGTCACACAATACAAGTACAATACAAATGCCTATCGTATTAAGTATTGTTGTTTACTATACACAGACTCATAGGCTCTATGCTTATCGCGATACCTGTACTCACATCGCATAGGCTTTCCATTACAATACTTCACTTCAATTACACGATTATTACGTCAATCGCAGTCAACACACACACAGCGAGACATCTCGGGGACAGACACTCCGAGAGCTAGTTTTGAATCCGTATCACTTGTATCCAACTTATATTTCCAGCATTTATTCATTTTATTAAATTTTATTTATACACAAAACTTTCTTATATACAAAAATTCATTTCATTTCGTATTATTAAATAATTATCGCAAACATTATAATTATTATGAATTCAAACACAAAAAAGTAAATCATTTTCAAATTATATATTAAAACAGCTAATAATTAGGAATAACTTATTTATTATGCTATCTATTAATGAGTTTCATCACAATATCCCCTAAAATAATGTCATTTAGAAAACCAATTCATAGTTATTATATATTTTATACATTAGTCTCGGCTCTGAACCGATGTATCTGTGGAAGGGGTCGAGCGGACGGAGGAATCGCTAGCTTTGACACCAATGGTGGCGGTGTTGGCGATGGTGTCGGTGAGGGCTCTCCCGCACGACCTCTTCCTCTTCCAGGCTTCGCATCACTCTTTAGGCCCTATTTTGGGTGAAATTATAAAATATTTTAATGGTTTATAAAATTACAAAACATTTCATTGAATTACTTCTTGAGCGGAAGGCACAGGTGATTGTTTGCCTGACTTCCTAGTGGGCGAAGTCGGCCTCTTCTCTATCTTAATGGCACTCTTATCGTCCGTTTGCAGTGAAGAGGAGCTTCGGCTGAATGTCTTGGACAGTGTCTTTGAAATCTTATACTTCAATGAATGCTCTTTCTTTAGGCGCTGTTTCTCGCGCTCTATAGGACTCGTCTCGAAGCCGTGAACAGCCAGTGATGTGAGTCCGGCGCTCGCGATACTGCCGCCGGTCGACGAGTCCTCGATACTGTTTGTCTTCTTCGTGAACTTGAAAAAAGATTTCTTGTGATGCGGGACAGCAGGGAGTGATGTGTCCGAATCGGCGCCGTAAGAGCCCTCACGAGTATACCTGGAATGGGAAGCGTCGGAGTCGTAACCGCTGTAAGTCGTGAACCCGCGATACGGACCACCGACTCGTAGATTACTATAACTAGAGGTGGGGGTAGTGTTGGCCGAGTCGCCCGATTCCCAAATGCGCTCCTGAGAGGCACCCCTATTGCCGGAGGCGCCGATCTGGTAGTCCAGAGACACACTCTTCTTCGCCAACGCTTTAGGTCGCGGCGGAGCTCTTATGACGGCGTTTGGCGGTGGAAGTGGCGCTCGAGTCAGCGATTGGGACGAACCCCTGAGCGGCGGGATATCTGATGAGGACGAGGCCCTACTGAATGAGACGCAGTGTCGCAATCGGTCCACATCTTTGCGAGGAAGCGAAACACTCTTTATGTCTTCGCTTCGAGTCTTCAGACTCGACACCAATTTCTTCAATTCCTCCACATTTAACACATTTATTGTCTGCGATCTCCTCTTTCTGACCGCTGTTTCCGGTTCTGTCGTCTTCTCCGGTTCGCTGGTCTTCTCAACCATTTGATACATCTCTTCGATTTCATTCGTTATATCCTTTGCCTTCAGTTGTATGTCAAACGCCGCGAATACAGTGTGTTTCCAGTCATCCCTTTCCCTCTCATAGGCCGACCGCTCTCTCCTGAGCCGTTCATTCTGTGACCTAACCTTTGAATGCGCTTCTCTCAGGTCAAGCAAATCCAACTGCAATTCGCCGACCCTTTTGTGCGAGTCTTCCGAATCCCTATCCATTCCAGCCTTCAGTTCCTGCAATTGTTTTCTCTGTTCTAATCGATCCCTTTCCCTAATCTTCTCGGTATTCAACAACTTATCTCTCAATTCCTGAATAAATTTCTGCGTTTCCTGAAGGAGTCGGTGGTTATCCTGTCTCTCCTTATCCCACGCCAACTCCATCTTAGTCTTCGCGTAATTACGTGTCGACCCTCTCGTCTCCAGAAGTATGCGTTCCTCCAATTGATTGATTTGTGTCTTGAGTTCCGCCGTCTGTATTTGCCATCCGCTTCGTTCGGTCCCGAATTGGATCTTCAGGTTCCTGTTGTCGAGTAGAGCCGCCTCCAGATCAGACCTCAGGGTCAGTATCTGAGCGGACATGTCCTCCATATCGTCTTTGAATTTCGAGGACCGCCTAAGACTGGGATCTCTATCCAATTGATCCCGAATTCTGTCCCTATCGTTGGCCAACAGTGCTATTTGTCGCTGCAATTCATTCACTTCGTCGCCCATCAGTCGCATCCTTCCCTCATATTCTGCGTGAAGGGCCGCCACCTCTCCCTTGTGTGAGGTCTGGGTGTGCTCTAAACGGATCTTATATTCTTGTAGTTCTTTGTCTTTTCCGGTGATATTTGTAGTTCTGGTCATTCTCTCCACTTTCTCCATGTCTGTCATCTTCACCGTCAGGTCTTCGCATCGTTTTCTCAGTTTATCTCTTTCTTCTTTAATATACTTCTCTTCCTTTCGGTACGATTCCAAGAGATTCTCCTTTTCTGTCATCAAGTCTTGGAGTCTATTCTTCTCTTCGACCACAAACGACGTGCGACTGGCCTTTGATTCAAGTGTCGCCACCTTTTCCTGTAAGTCCATCTTCTCGCGGACCCATTCCTTCTGTTTGTTGGTCAGCGTCTCCTTCAATGACTTTATTTCGTAAAGTTTTTCGTCATAACTCTTGCGAATACTACCGACGGCTTCGGCTAAAGTATCCTTTTCTGACACCAATCGTGACTTCATTTCGAGAAACTCTTTCTCTAATAAGTCATATTTGTTGGTCAGATCCTCGTATTCTTGTCGCTCTCGTGTTAACTCCTTCTCAAATATGTTCGTCTTATTGCTGGACGAGTACTCTATGTCTTCCAGTCTCTGTGTAGTCCGTCTCAACTCCCTTTCCAATTGAACGATACGCTCCTGTGATTGTAATAGCTCTTGGTCTTTGGATTTAAGGGTCAATTCGTGCTCTTTTTCAAGTTTCTCTCTCCTCTTCAGCTCTGCCCTCATCTGTGTCTCAAGATCTGTGATTTTATTCTGCAAATCATCCCTTTCTTTACGAGACTGAGTGTTGATATTCTTTAACTTTTCATTCGCTTCCTTCATCTCTTTATCGGCTTTTTCTAATTTATCCGTCAATTCAGACATTTTTGTCTTATAATTAATGGACTCTTCTCTCATTTGTTGCAATTCTAAGTGCACTTCCTTTCGGACCCCTTTCACAGCGATGTCTAACTTTTTGTTGTGTTCTTCTCTCAGTTTAGACTCCTTTTCACGGAATTCTTTATCCAAACTCTCGTATTGTTTCCTATAATTGTCCGCTTTATTCGTCATTTCTGTTAATTGTTTCTTCAATTCATTGATCTCTTTCTGCAAAACTGCTGTCAATTGACTTTCATTTGTAGACTTTTTGCTCTTTTCCTGATCCAGCTGTTAGTCAAACGGAACACAAAAATATTTATATAAATGACAAAATTTTAATAAATGAAAATTTATTATAACTTCAATTATACCTCAATTTTCATTTGTTGAGAAGACTTTTTGAATTCATTCAACTCTTTAGAGATGTTTTCATATTTATTTGTGATATCTTTCAAATTGTTTTCGCTTTTTCTCAACTTTTCTTTCGTGATTTCGCTCTCGTCTTCAAACTTTTCCTTTTGTTTCAGATTTAATTGACTACTTTTCGTGAGTTCTTCTTTCATAGCTGTCATGGCTTTTAACTTTTGATTCAAATCTTCAGTTTTATTCCGTTCGCAGATTAACTCCTCCTGAATGTCAGCCAATTGAATGGCCAACTCTTTCTTCTCGGCCTGAAGTACTTCCAAGTTATCCAAAGCACTCATATCTATGCCTTTTTCTTTAGTAAATGAATCCACTTTTGTTTGCAATGTCTTCAGCTTTTTCTTCTCATTTTCGAGTTCTTTCTTCAGTCTTTCGTTCACTTGTGAGGAGTTGTTTCCGTTGCTGTTCACCGAAAGACCGTTAGATTTCAACTCATCTCTCATTTGTTCAAATTCTCTCTTCGTTTCACTCAACTCTTCAGTGATATTCTCGAGTATAATATCTTTGCCTTTGATTGTATTGTGTAAGTCATTCACATCTTCTTCCAAGTCTTTGATTATCTCTTTCAACTCCATTCGAGTCGCTGTCTCTCTCACCACACGAGTTGGTCGTCTCCTCGCGGACACCGTTTCCTTCAATTTCTTATATTCTCTGTTCAATCGCATGGATTCCACATCCGATTGCGTGAGTCTTGTGTTCAGTGCATTAATCTCTGTCTCTTTTGCTTTCACCTGTTTTTTCAGCGTATTTATCAAATCATTTTCGGTATCACTCATTAGGAAACTGTTTAGATTGGGCTGAGATTTACTGGCCATCAGATCGGACTTAATATTCTCACACTTTCGCTCCAATTCCTTGATTTTGGCTTTTAGTTCAATGTTCTCGACCTGCAGTTGATCTGCCGGTCCGGGCGGCGGCTTTCGACTGAGTCTCAACTGGAATCTCTTGTTATCATTGACCAGTTTATCGTTTTCATTCTCAATGGAAATCAGTTTTTGTCTCAAAATGCTGGCCTCCTGTTCCACGAGCTGTAACTGGCGTTTCAGATCCACCTGTTGCTCGGAGTCAAGACTCCTGCTTCGGATTATCACTTTCGATGCCTTTCGTCGATGGACTTCGATCTCAGTCCTTAAGCTCTCGTATTCCTTCTCTCTGTCCACCAATTTTTTCCTCAAATCTCTCGCTTCCGTCTCAAGTATTCTAATCTTGTGGTCGTATATGACATTAGGCGGCGAACCGACAGGTATTTCCGGGATTTCCACTTTAGTCAAGGGTTGGGATATGAGTTTGTCCTGTAAATACTTGATCTCCTGCTGGAAGTTGTCGTTCTCCTGTTCCAACTCATCGGCCTTTCGCCTCAAGACAACCATTTCCTGTTCATAGAGTTCTAAATTAAGTTTCATCTCTTCGGCACTCAATTCTTCGCTCTCGTCGTCACCGATGCCTCCCTTCGACTTCTGATTCGCCATTTTCCTGATCTGCATCATCAGTATCTCATTCTCGGACTCCATTGTTGACAACTTCTTGCGCATCGTTCGGGTCTCCTCCTCAGCGAACTTCATCTGTTCCTGAAGATCCTTCTCCCTCTCCATCGTGTCGTACAGATCGCGAATCACTTGCTCGTAGTCTTTGCCATCAAATGAAACGCTTGGCGAGAGTCCACCCGTTGACAACCGGTTGATCGCCTTCTGTGACGGATTCTTCTCAGCCAACTGTTGCTCTAATAGCAGTCGTCCCTCTCTTAACGTTTCAATCTCTGCGTGTAGTTTAAGTGACACTTCTTTAGCGATCGACAGTTCCGTTTCCAGTTCTTTCATCTTATGTTTGTCGACATCGAGTTTCGTGGTCTCTAAGAGATCTTTAACTTTCTTGTCGAGCTCTATCTTATCGTTTTCCATCAATTCTAGACTCCGTTCAGCCTTTTTGAGCTTAAACTGCAAAACACGACAATTCTTTGACGACGACTCCAACTCTCGCTTCAAAACCCGAAACTCTGACGACTGGTCCTCACGGAAGTTGTCGTGAAGTTCTTGGAATTCAATCTCTAAGGCCTTCACATCTTTCTTCATCTCTTCATTCTCTTCAGTCAGCCGTTCGCACAGGAGTTCTGTTTGTTGTAATTTAAGCCTCAAATTAGTGATCACTTCTTTGAGCTCTTTTGGGTTCTCTTTCTTCATTAACTCCACCTCTCGTTTCAGTTCTTTGATTTCGATTTTCAGACAATTCTTCTCGTCTTTGAGCTCAACATTAATGGTCTCTAATTCGCGACACTTTCCCTGAAGTTTCAACAGATCCTGGGCTGTGGTCTGGAGCGCCTTCTTATCGCTATCACTGATTTGTTTGGTTTTATTTTCTTGAATTTTTTCCATTCGCTTAATCTTTGTCTGCAATTCATTGTTTTGTTTCTCCAATGTTTTGATTGATTCTTCAGTTTTCTCGAGTTGTGTGACGAGACTCGCGATCTTCGTCTGATATTCTTCCACTTCTGCCGAACCAACTAAAGTGGTTTCAGTGGTATCGGTGGCGGCAATGCTCTCGTCGTCAAACTCCTTCTCTTTTGTAGCCGTTTTGACGCGAAGTATAAACTCAACGTCCGGTGAGTCTGTATGTCCGCCGCTATCCAATGACAGACTCTCTTCAGCGCCCAAAATCCGTATCCTTTTGGGCGCTGAGGTCTTCGTGGGCGACGTCTTGTCATTGAGTTCGGCGCCGTCCGGCTCTAGCCTTAACTCCGATGTCTTAGTCCTGACTCGAACTCTACTGGAATTGGTTGATGAAAGTGATGTCGATGTGGAGGCGGTGCTGGGCGTGGGTTCGGATGTTGTGGGTCTGACACGAGTTCGTCGCCCCGGACTGGTCTGAGTCTCATCCGGAGGGTTGTCATCAAGTTTTGGCAGTTCTCTGGTTCTGGTTCTCAGACGAACTGTTGTCGTGCTGTCAGTTGTCGACGAGTTATCGTTCGGTAGGTATGAAACTGACGGCACAAACAAAGAGCTCGACTTTTCCGGTGACGATCTCTTCCCTGAAGATTATGTTTAAAATTACATTTAAAAATATCATTTAATAATTATCCATAATTTTATAATCCTTTGTGAGTAATACATTACTTGTTATTTTGTAACTCATTGTAAAAATAAGAAAACACTTCAAAGTAAACTTAAACTTAAGAATCGATTTGTTTTTTATAGAATCGTCTCGTTTTATAAATAGATACGATTAGTATATTTAAGCAGTTTTTAGGTATTTTTGACAAACAGTTTCGTAAACTACTTAATATTTATTAACTTTTATGTATGTATTGGAAATATAAATATTTAATCAATTAAAATAAATTGATTTATATTATGATTAATCTCACCAGTTTAAAAATCTTATTTATTTGAATACTCTTCACAATACGCTTCCCTTATGTTGTAATGAATGATCAAATAGTTTGTAATTTTGCCAATAAATTGTTTTAATTGTTTGATAGTGTGCTATGACTTTGCTCTCATTGAATGGGAATTTAATTTTGGATATCAAGCCCTAGTTTTATGAACTTATTCTCTATTTCTTTTATATTCAATGAAAGCATGTCTAATGTCCCAAAATTCACATCAAATTATTTTGAATTAATAATCCTTTCATTAAGAAATTCCAACATTTTGAAAATTACTACTGTACCCTTTTACTTAAAAATTATTTTTGTTTAGTTATGTTTTCATATGACTTCAACTGAAACAAATGTCGGATTTGAGTGTTTATTTGAGTTAAATGTTTATAATAACATCCATTCAATTCCATAATAAACAGAATAAATTGAGTTTTTATTATATTTAGATATGAATTTAAATGAGGGATTCACTGAAAGTCGATATTTGATGAAATTCACTGATAAGACAAACATTTTAAAACTAATGGAGAATTCTGTGAATTCTGTATATCATATTCTGTGATTTAAGAGATTAGTGTTGAACACAATTACATATTCTTAACATATAATCTTTGCAAAATTATTCCTGTAAATTAATCTTAATAAATAATAAAATTTATCATAAAATTATAAAATTATACTCTAATGAATAAATCCAAGGTTTAATCAATGCATGAAATATAAAACCAACATGTAGTTTTTAACATTAATTAGTAACAGAATCAAGAATTTTAAAATTCTTGCGGCATATTAATACAGTATTAAGGTATTGAATGGCTTGCCGTGAATTGAAGCATATAAACGTTTATCATAATTAATAATCTAATAATAGACATAATGTTAATAAAGTCATACTTTGAGTACCAGTCTGTGCGTCAGAGTCGGCACCGGAAGCGCTCTTTTTAGTATCATTGGCTGACTTATCATCTTTGATGTCATGTTCACTGATGTCTCGGAAACATCGACGACAACGATTCGGTTTAACGGTTCCCGCCTTAAAACCGATACAAATGGCACTCATGTCAGGACAGACACCATCGGGCGCGCACTGGGCAGTCAATGGGACACTAATCGCATGTTATTCACCGAAACAGTCATTCAATGCAAATGACAGACAAATGGATGACGAAAATGAAGAAAATGTAAACTAAAGCCTCGCTTCTGATCTTAAAGTTAACAATAATTTTCAAATACGACTCACTATTACTAGGTTTGCAATACACTCAAGAAGTGGAGTGAAGGCTGAATGCGTTGAATACTTGGCCCAAAAGATGCTATTTTTAGCCGAACGGCGCTCACGACACCACACATGCCGTACCCCCAGCGCTAACATTACACGCTATGG